ATCATACTTGCAAAAACTGAGAAACACCCGTCTTGCGTGACCTCCTCTCCCTTAGCAAATACTAAATTAGTAAAAAAACTCTATTGTTTTACTTCAGGTTTAGCACGACAGGTTTCAATCGTGACGTTTCAACTTTTCGATATATGGGGCAATCTATTCATACGATCAATAATCAAATTGAAAAAAAAAATATATAATTGTTTATATCCGAAAAAAATCCAATTAGTTTTTTTTTTTTGTTGAAAATTTATTTATTGAGATTTACATTTATTGTTTCAAAAAATTACAATGCACCAATTTCCTTATTAATAAAAATATTTAATTGCGCAAAGTATCTCATATAATGATGCTACTGCTCGTCAATTTGATCAAGATATTTTTGGATTTTAAAATTATGTACATAGATATTCAAAGGAACTTTATCGAATAGCAGCACAAATTTTTTCAATTGCAGTAATAACAGCATCTTTGAAAAGATATTTTTCTACAATAGGATAGTTACATTCAAAATAATAAAATTGATTAGGGGTAAGAATTTTATTTATTTATTTTTTTTTATAAATTATAATATACTAATAAATATTTATTTCATATTAGTCTGAAAAAGTACTTGCTATAATACAAATACAAGCTTTTATATAACAAGAATTAAAATTTAAAAAAATTGATGAGAAATATTTAAGTTTAAAACTACAAATATAGCATTATCTATATTAGCTGAAATTAATAATAAAGTTGAATATACAGCTGATATATCAGATGATGAATTATCTGATACAAAAAATAATGTACAAACAGTAAGTAATTGACAAATTATAGTTTTAAGATAGATAAATATATTAGAAAATAATTCAGATTTAGAAAATACTAATATTAATTATAATGAAGATGAAGAAGAAAAAGATATTTCTTTAATTAATATTTTTAATTTACCTCATCCTGCTATAAATAAAAATGTAAATAGAAGCTTCAAGATATTTTTGTTGAAAAATCTAGAAATGCCTAACTACTTAGAAAACTTTATGAATAATAATAATTAAGTAATAAATAAATAGTTTAGTATTAGTATAAATAATATACATGTTGTTATAATAATAAATAATAATAAATAATGAATTTATAATATAAAAGTAAATTTTAGTATTAAATTATAAAAATTTTATTTAAATGGACCTAAATATAAGTCCAATAATCCAATAAAATTTGGAATTAGATTGGACTAAGTTCAATAATCTAATAGTCTAATTGTTCAATTATCCAATAGTCCATAAAGCCATCACTAACTATATTAGATCAAGCAATTAGATTTTATATCAAAGATTTAAAGAAAATTGTTATTATAAAACTGCAAAAATAACAAATTCCAGAACTATTATTACTACTCAGTCAAGCGTTAGTAAATAACCTTCTACTAAAGAAAAGAGAAGGAGCTCTCAAAACTTTGAAGATACTTAGATATTACCAACCTTGACTCAAATTCTAGATACAAACCTGATATTAAAAGTAATAGTCTCTTTTATCTTAGTACTACTGGTAGTGCAAGACTTAGAAGTAACTATAGATTTAATAGCACAGGACTAGAGAATTGGGGTACTAGCTCTAAAAATAGAAGATCTTATCAATCTTACATTATTCCTGACTCTGAAAATAAGGATAATGATGATGCTAAATCCCTGATATAAAAAGCAAAAATAAACAAACAAATAATATCACATAAACAGAAATAGGTGAAGGAAAAAGTCATAGAAAAAGTCATTGCAGGTAATCATGCTAATATTCTCACTATGATAATTCTTCTTCTAATTTAGATTCTAGTAACAGTTTTTCTGAAAGTGAAGACAAAATTGACCCAATAACTAAAAATATTAATAATGCTGATTTGCCTAATAAACCTCAACTCTTTTAAATGCTAAAGAGATTACAAAGTGTCTTATGATCTGTAGAATTTTCAGGATCAAAAGAAGTTAGAATTGTGAACTTTCTTATATTTAAAGAAGACGACTAAGATCCTAATAATTGGTTAGAATAATACAACCATGCTTGTAAAGCTAATAGCATTTCTGATAAAAGAAGATTAACACTGGTATCATTTATAAAAGGATCAGCTCTTACCTAGTTTAATAAAACAAAATTTGAAAAGGATTTATACTATTAAGATAATAACAGTGATCGATAACGTAAACAATAATTCTTTATTTATCAATTTTTAAATATTATTACATCACTTATAGATGAATACAATGACGATCTGTACTTTGATGATATAAACAAAGGTCTGGATAATCTGTAGAGAAATATACTGCAGAAGTAGAATCTTTATACCTAAAATTAGACACAAAATACAATACTCTAGAAGATGAAAAGATTGAATAATTTCTTTAAGGTTTATGACCTGAATTTCATACTGCACTTACTGCTGCTGCTTCACGTGATTTAGAGAAAATAATTGATAGAGCTTATTCAATTAAAACTATATTATTCCATGATATTACTTTATCAGATTATTCCTTAAGTAAAGCTTACTTGAATTACAGTGAGGAATTAAAGAAAGAAGAACAACTTGCTAATATGCAATAACTCATTAATGAAAATAATAAAAAGTTAATCAAGGAGTTTAAACATCTATTATCTAATACTACTATAACTTTTAAATCTACCAATAATCATACAAATAATAACTTGAAAAATAAATTACATAATAATATATCTGGAAGCAGTAGACGAAACTGTTATAATTGTAAAAAAGCAGGATATCTTTCTAAAGATTGTTGAGCACTAAAAATAATTGTAATAATGGCGATAAGTATTATAACTATAAACAATTTGGATATTTTATAAGGAATTGCATTATTCAACCAAAAACTCCTTACTCTCATTATAAATAACATAGACATTGAGGAAATTTATGCCTAACCAAAAATAAATTTGAGACTAATGAAGGCTAACGTGCTGCACTTTTATATTATACTTTAATAATATTTGATAATCAAAATATGTATATACTGCTAATGAGTACTTTACCACCACAATTTACATATATGACTTCTATTTCTATTTATTCACCACATCCTTATTTAAACTAATAATGGTATTTTCAGAGGGTGAGTATACTGAGGAAATTAAAATCCCTCAAAAGTAATTGAAGCTATTTATTATTATGCTTATATAGATAGAAAATCAATATATTTAATTTTAGATTCTAGATCAGCAGGAAGTGTGATGTCTAAATCATTTCTACAACAATTAGGACAAAAAATAGAAGGTCCTTTCTAAATTACAATGATTAATATTCAAAATGAATGTTCTCTACCATTAGAATAAGTGCAAAATATACCAATTTAAATTAATAATATTAAAATTTCAATAAACGTTGATATCACTAAATTATTATATAGTGACTGGTAATAATTGGCTTACCAAATGTCAAGTACAATTATATTAGGATAAAGGAGCTTTTATTTTTAAATAGAATAGAATCATACACTAAGTTCTAATAATTTATTAAAAAACACTTATATTTGATCAATTTCAATAACTAATACCAGTAATTAAACTCTGCAAATGAGAAATATGAAGAAGTTTTAGTTTTATAATGACATTATGCAGTTTTAGGAGATAATATCAGTTAACCAATCCTTGCTAAAGCTAAGCTAAACCAAATTCTAATTCAAGGATAATGATATTCTTTGTAATATTACGAAAATTTAAAGCAAAAATTTAATGCTCAACTCCCTATTAATAAAAAATGAAAATACCATTGACAAAGGCTAAGAAATTAATGTTAGTATCATAATCAAGGAAAAACTAAAGATTCCTAAAATTACTGCTTCTTTAGAAGAGAAACAATAACAATAGTTAACTACCTTTCTCAAGCAAAATGATGATTTATTTGCAGATAATTTATCTCAACTAGGATATACCAATATCGAAACACATTATATACCATTAAAAATAGATATGCCAATATGACAAAAAGCATATTGAGTTGCTTCTTTTAAATAAGATTTTATCAAGAAAGAAATTGATAAAATGCTAAAAAATAAATTGATACAACTATCTAAAAGTTTTTGAGTTTCCTCTATAGTTTTAATAAGAAAGAAAAATAGCAAACTAAGATTCTGTATTGACTACCAAAAACTCAATAGTGTATCTCGACGAGATTGTTATTCTCTCTTACATATTGATAAACTTTTGGATATATTTGGTAAAACTAAATACTTTATAACACTTGACTTAGCTAGCAGATACTAACAAGTTACTATGATACCTAAGGATTAATAAAAGACTACATTCATTATTAGTCATGAACTCTATGAATTTACTGTTATGCCTTTTGGTTTAACTAATATATTAGCAACATTCCAAGGTTTATGAATAAAGTCTTTAGAGAAGAAATTGGAAAATATGTAGCTGTTTATTTAGATGATATAATTATCTTCTCAATAACTTTTGAAAAATACCTTAACTACCTTAAAAATATCTTTCAATAGTTAAGAAAAGCTGAATTAAAATTAAGACAAGATAAATGTAAATTTGAAAAGCTTAAACTTGTCTTCTTAGAACACATCATAAATAGACAAAGAATTACTTCAGATTCTTCTAAAATTAAAAAGATTAGAGACTTTCTAATATCCTTTAATATCACTAAGCTTCGTGAATTCTTAGAACTCGCTTCATATTATCATTAATTTATACAAAACTTCTCAACTATTGCTGTATCTCTACATCTCTTACTTAAAAAGAAAACATTGTATAAATGGACTGAAATCCAACAGTAGCATTTGAATATTTAAAGAAATGTTTAATTACAACCTCTATTTTTATTTATTCTGATTTTTTGAAGAAATTTTTGTTATTTACTAATGGATTATATATGGAATTAGATATTATTTTAACTTAGTTGGATAATCAACAGAAGAAATATATGGTCACATATGCTAGTTGAACTCTCAACAATGTTGAAAAGAACTATGTGCCTATTGAATTTAAATGTCTTATTGTTGTTTGAACTATAGAACATTTTAGATCATACCTCTTTCATCAACCTTTTGATTTAATCATTAACCATGCTGCATTGCAATGGTTATTCAATAAACCTGATACATTATATAAATTTATGAGATGGATTGTATGATATATATATAGTATATAATAAATAAACTATATGAAATAGAGTTTAGAACTGATTGCATTTTTAAAAACTGAATTTAAAATGGGTGTAACTAGTTTGATTTTTTTCAAATTGATTTTTACAAATTTATCTTTATAACTGATTTTATATTTATTAATTATAAAAATAACTTATAGAATTTTACTTAATAAAATAATAACTATTAATTGATAAATATATTGTACAAAATGATCTACACTTTAGCATTTAAAAACTTTTATTAGCTTTATTAAAATTTATATTATAATCTATTTAAAAATGATTGGTATTCAAATTTAAATTAAATATAAATTTTGTTAGTATTAAACCAATTTGAATACTTAATTGTATCTATTTTAAGCATAAATTAATTTTTGTAATATAAATCTAAATAGTCAAAAACTAATTATTAAACTAAATGATACATCTGATTTCAAACTCTATATAAAATTATGTAAGCTATATAGCAAATCTCAAAATAAAATTTATTATCAAAATCTTTCTTTATAGTATCTTTATTTCAATATTATTATTTATTTTTTATACTGCATTTTTTATAAATAATTATAGTAAAAAAAAAATAATTAATAATAGATTTATGCTTATCATTATTTTAATTTACTAGTATTAAATAGAAAATTTTTATTCTAAAACATAAATTAATCTAGAATATTCTAATCTAAAATTAAAAAATCAGAATAAATAAAAATAGAGGTTGTAATTAAACATTTCTTTAAATATTCAAATGCTACTGT